TGTCATAGACAGTTTCCTCAATGTCTTCTTTTAGTAGTTTCATAGTTTGAGGTCTTATATTTAAGTCTTCCATCTATTTTGATTTTATTTTTGTACGTGGTGAGAGGTAAGAGTCCAGATTCATTCTTCCTAATATGGTTATCCAGTTTTCCCAGCACCATTTATTAAAGAGACTGTCTTTTCCCTAATGTATGTTCTTGGTACCTTTGTCCCAAATGAGTTCCTGTGCATTATTCTTATAACATGTATAATTTTCTAAACTCTCAAAGTTCTATATTATAGTGCTTTTTTCCAATCCTTTCTTAAACATAAGTCTAACTTTGAATTAACTTTCATTCACTAGTACATGAGTCTCGATGAAGCTAGGACATCCTGTTGATGTTTATCTGTTGCATGTGCTACTAATGCTTCAGTTATATAACACCTTAAAGGTATGAGTAAACAAAATATTCCAATCAACAGAAATATACATTAGTTCACTAGAGTAGCACTGAATTCTAAGATTTGGGAGTCATATAATACCTATGACCGAGTGGTTATAGTTTTGTAGCATTTATAACGGTTATGCTCAATTTGCTAACATAGGTATCCATTAAAAAGTAAAAATATGAGTTCATAAATGGTAATGATGATAATTTATGCTTATATAATATTATTTTAGTAATTGTTTTATTTATTACTTTAGTATTAAAACAACCTGTAGTGATAAAGAGTTAGAGATAGACAAATATTTACCTAAGTATGTAAATAAGGATACAAGAGACAAAGTAAAGCTATGGCCATTCAGAATGAACAAAGTGAAAAGATTAACTTCCAGTCTTTAAAAATCGATACATAATAAAAGACAAATTAACATATGTATTTCATTTTTCTGGAAAACTAGAATATCACAAAATTTAAATAATCACTAATCCCTAGGCCTACTCATATTATGAAGATAATGCTCCACTGATCAAAAAAAAAAAAAAGTAAGCTATATCTAGGGATAAATCTTAATGGTATGTTAGATAAGATTACAAATTAATGGAATTCCACACTTCAAATAGTAAAGAATGCTTGACTGTTCTGGCATATACCTGCAGATAAAATATACACACTCTACAAAAATCCCCCTTGCAAGATGAATTATAAAGTTGCTTTAGAAATGATGATTAGTCTGATCTGTGGCTTTGATTTCAGACAGAAAGGACTCAAGTTATAACGAACCTTTAAAGAATCTACTGGGGCTTAAATAGCACATGCATATCATACACAATTTGTTTTTAAATTATTTTGAGATAGGGTCTCTCTGTGTTATCCAGGCTGTAGTGCAGTAGCATGGTCACAGCTCACTACAAACTCCACCTCCCAGGCTCAAGAGATTCTCCCACCCTGGTCCCCTGTGTAGCTGGGATCACAGGCACAGGCCACCATGTCCAGCTAATTTTTTGTATTTTTGGTACAGACAGGGGTTTGCCATGTTGGCCAAGCTGGTCTCCAACGCCTGAGCTCAAGAGAAATGACCACCTCAGCCTCACAAAATGCTGGGATTACAGGCCTGAGACACTATGCCTGGCCTCATAGATATTCTTTTTATAACTGAACTGAATTTTAAATTTATTTTCCTATAATATCCAAATAACTTGCTTTTTCGCTACCAAAATAAGTTTTAAAACTTTGTTATAATAGCCAGGTGTGGTGGCTCATGCCTGTAATCCTAGCACTTTGGGAGGCCGAGGTGGGTGGATCACCAGGAGTTCAAGACCAGCCTGGCCATCATGGTGAAACCCCATCTTTAAATAAATAAATGAATAAATAAAAAGTAAAACCTTTGTTATTTTAAATAATAGCAAAGATATTCACAATAATTTTACATGTTCCTTTTGTCCAAGATGAGGCAAAGTCCTCCTATGAAATAATTTCCATGAAATTCATGAGTGCTGCTTTTTGCCTCTGTGACAAGGCCCTCCCACTGTGACGCCATATGGTGTAAACAGTATACACAAAAGCTCAGAGCAGACAGATGTTTTCATGTTCCTAGAAAGGACTTATGCTCATAGTCTGCATATTTAATGTATATGCATAATTTCCCAGTTACGTACACTCATGTCCATCTGTTATGGTGGCATTTTGCCCAAATACAAATTGGGAAGATTATTTCACTTGCTTATAGATGCCAGGTTATGGCAGGTGTAGACAGGCTACCTGGTGGCGCAGTGAGGGACCATTTTCTGCCAAATTCTTTCCTCTGAGTCTCCAGCAAGCACTGGTGCTGCACATTTAAAACTGATTATAGCTACTGGTAACATGTGAACATATACTCAGCTCTGGAAATGCCCAGACCTTCAGAAAACATCAGAGGGAAATGATATGTAGTCTGTAGCCTTTCTGGGCCATCACAAAGAGAGCTGGAATCTTCTCAGATCCTACAAACAGATTAGGGCACTTTTACTGGGGGAGTAAATAAAAAGGTGTGGGAAGTGTTGGGTCCTGTCCCATATCAGACCTGCACCTAAGTTGGAATGGGTAGGAAACTATTTCAGAAAATAATTAGCGCTGTGGTGGATATTATTTAGCAAAACAGAACATGCTATTAGATAACATCTCTTAGCCAACACACGGTGAGTTTTAATCAGCCCAGGCTTGGAACCAGAAAAAACTCATTATCAAAATGTAGTCAAAGAGCAGTCAATTAAGATTTATTAAGCATCTGCTTGGTGCATGACTCTGCATAAGTTTTATACAAAGGCTTTATAAAGCTTACTCATCAAAGAAGATTGAATATCACAAAGTCAAAATGTTGTGGGCTTTGTATCTTAAACTCTAAGATTGTAAATTTCTGTAACTAAACAATGTTTTCTCTTGTTTTCCCATTACTAAAGGCATATTTTCCACTACTCAAAGATCATCAGAGCGTAAGATAATATTGGCACAGATATTATGTAGACATTTGGCAGGAGTATTGGAAAGGCTTATTTTCTATCTTGTTTTATTTGACTTTATTAAACTTTGACCACTGATACACCAGGTTTTAAGAGCCCAGACCTTGTGAACAAGCAACAAAGAACTTACATATTTGGTGTTATACTTTTACCCAACCTCACCTAGAAAATCAACCACTCTTCAGGGTAAATTCAGGATAGCAGATATTTAGATAATATTAAATGAAAGATTTGATTTGTAATTCTAACAGTAACAAGTTCCATTTGTCTATGTATAGTAACTATTTTCAATAAATTTTCTTGGCAAATTATTGTGCACATAATATAGGAGCTTTATTTAATTTAAAGCCAAAATAGGCATTGATTTAATAACTCGGCAAGTTATCCACCTGTATTTAAAAGCACATAAAATGAACTCTTGGTTAACACAGAATTGATGATTCTTGGTATGATCTAATGGGCCCAAAATCTTAATCAAGAAACTATCATGATAAGAATATACCAGGAGAAAAGTGTTCACATTCTGCGCATTAAAAGGGTTGACAGGATATAGGCCCTGTGGATGATATTTTACCAATAACCCGACAATTTCAGTCCTTCCTCTGGACATGGAAAATTTATATATTCAAGATAAGTATGCATTTAACCTGTTAGATGTTTTTAAGTGCCTGAAGGAGTTTTGCTAACATAAATCATCCTTTTATGTAGTCAGTTCATTTCTGAGCAGCAAGTAAGTAGCAGACACTAATGCAGGTTCTGGGGAAACAGTGGATAAAAGTTCTGATTCAGGGGAGTTAAAGTGAATGTAGATGACTAAATCCCTATACTTGTTCATGTAATGTAATGGTAAACAACAACTAAAGAAATATTTTAATGAAATAGTAGGCAAGGATAGAAGCCTTCTTTAATATGCTCTGAATTAGCGCATGCTCAATTCAATTTTGATCCTTTTGTTGATTTAAAATATTTAATGTATTCAAAATATTATGCCAATTATTTAGTGGCTGCTGCTTTTTGTTTTATTTTAAAAATGTTGAATTCTAGAGTTTTGTTTTAGAAAGAAAGACATTTGCTATATTTCCTTGTGAGAAAAACGCTTTTACAAGTTCTCCTGTATTTTTCCCCAAATGAAAATGCTGTGATGATTCCTTCTAACTGAATTTTTTAACAAGCTACGCTGTTATAGGAATTTTCTTAAAGCTCTTTGTAGAGAGTATACAATATCGCTGTGCATGCCTTTTAAAAACAAGTTAATCTTTTATTTGCAGTTTCTAGCTCCCCCCAAATTTAATCTTGTAAAAAGCACTCTGCATACTATTCTTTCTGAATATTTAATCATATTAGGCTGTAATCGTCCTTAAAAACAATTATTATGCGACTTCTTCCAACCAGCATAAAGCAACACCAATTTCCAGATGGGTAAAAGTGAATCAACACAGAAAATACACACAGCCAAGCAAGAGGGAGAGAGAGCAGGCAAGAGTTAAGAATGTTAAGTGAAGCATTCTAGCTGATAAATGCTCACAAAATAAGGGAAAAGATGATGAAAAGCTTTATTGCCATTGTCGGTAACTTAAGAATTTCCTCAGTGAAGAAATATTATTAAATATATGAACGTTATATATACTAAACAAAACAAATATACTTGTTTGTTTATATATATGTTCTAGATAATTAGAATACAGTAAACAAGAAAAGCAAAAATGTATTGTGAAATGCAATACAGTAAAATACAGTGAAAAAGTACTTGAAAAAAAATCCAAAAGGTGTGTCAAAATATGATGTCAAGGTTCTCAAAAAACAACATAAGATAAATTAGAATTGCAAAATGAAAAGAACATAGATTTATATTTAGCAGACCTAGGTACACATAATTTATTCCTTTCCCTGCTTCTGTTGGTTCTGCCTCAACAGGAAACATCTGTTGAATTGTTCAGCTGGGCTTCTTGTCCTCAATTACCTGAGTCCTTTCAATGGTTGCAAATTGTATTTGTCTGTCTTTGTGGTGAATTCACTCAACTTCCAAATGGGTCTTGTGTCCAAACCTTTCTAGCAAGAGCAGACCTAAGTAAGTGAGACCTGGTTCTTGGCTCTAGCGGGCCCATGACAGTAACTGGTAGAACCAGGTTATCCTCTGAAGGGTGATACGGCATCTCTCTGCTCTCGGACTTCCCCCAAGACCTGCTAATTTCAAAGCCATCTATATAGCTCTCCGAAAAAAAAAAAAAATACAGTCAGCTGAATTGGGAAGCCCACTTTCTGTCCTCTGCAAAGTAGACATACATACCAAGTGGTCAGAATCAATCCTATTCTGTATGTTGCACAAAGTTTTATGGCAAAGAAGTCACTAGATATTCTCAGCAACCATGGGAAAGATAGTTGTTTTCTAAGGTTCCTTTCAGTTCTTGGATCTCTTCCCTCTCCAACCCCATATCTTAAAAAGCAACCACAAAAAAAAAAAAAAAAAAAAAAAGACTGCTTTCTTGGAATCACTCTCAGTATCAGGTATTTAAAGACCATTAAGCCTCACTGCTAAGCTGCTCATGTCTATCAAGTGCCTTCATCACACACATGAGAGAAGACCATGGTATCAAGAGTCAGAGTGTAAGTCATAATCTTTCCCCAATCCCTTTCCTTAATTATTTTTAAAATTCATTCTGCAAACGCTGATTGGGAGAAGGTAACCATTTAGCTGTATAAGGCCATTTATATGCTCTATGATTAAGGTTACACTTTGATTCTTTTTCATCCAGTAAGAGAAATGATAGGATCTCAAGAAGTGAAGATCAGCTAAAGGAAATTCAGTTTCAAGCAATATCTGGATACTACTCACATTGCTCCTGTCCTTTGACTGAAGGTGGGATTTTTACATTGTTCTAGGATGTGGAGTACTGGAACAAGCTCATACTGCTTAGCACACTGGGGACAGAAAACCAGGTTTCTGTTGAACCTGTGCAAACATAACCAGGCATGCATTCTGAAGGGCAGGAAGGGAGCATTTGGGACCCCTTTATTGCTTTCTTCAGTGAAGAAATATGTTTTTATTAAATATATGAACATTATATATAGTAAATAAAACAAATATGCTTGTTTATATATATATATATATATATATATATATATATATGATCTAGATAATGAGAATACAGTAAACAAGATAGCCTTCATTAAGCTTATATTCTAATATAGGGAAAGACTAAAGAAAACAAAGAAATAAGTAATCTTCGTTCAGAGAGTAATAATACAAGGAAAAAAATTAACAGAACAACAGAATTGAGGGACTGGGGAAGCTGGTTTAGATGGGAAGTTGGCAGTGCCCTACTCAAAGAAGTAATATATGAACTGAGACCCAAATGAAAAGGAGTCTGTCATGTGAGGATCTAGTACACTAATCTTCCAGGTAAATGGAATGCAAAGGCCAGGAAAGAAGTGAGCATCTCTAAGGAACAGGGAGAATGCCAGTGCATATTTATCAAGGATTTAGTGAGCAAGGGTAAAAGTGGTATTAGGTCAGACAAGTAGGTAGTCTCTGTATCATGGCGGTGCTTCTTGGCTTTATTGTAAGTTTAACAGAAGGCCTAAGAGTATTTAACATGGACAGTGAAATAACCACTTTTATATCTCAAAAAGAGTATTCTGGCTGCCATGAGGAAAATGGATTAAAGTAGGACTAGAGTGGAAACAAGGAGAGAGGGGTTAAGACACCATCATAAGCAGTACATGCATTAGGTACTATAGTCATCTTTACTAGTACCATGTAAGTGGTGGAGAGCAAGAGCCATTAGATCATTGATAATGGATAAGACACGAGAAATAATTTTAAAAAATGAAACTTAAAACTGTCTTCTATATATTTGGTTTGTGCAACTGATTCAGTTGTAGTGCCATCACTGAGATGGAAAAGCTACTGAATGTGGAATTCCCTCTTGTCTCTTTCTAATTTTAAATAGAGAAGCAAATAACATTTCTAAACAAAGAGGCTTTTTACATTGGGAATCTCTCAGTGTGATGTGATGTCTTCTGTAGATCACCTATCTTCTGAGTAGACAGAAAAATAATCAATAATCTTGCTTAGGAAAAAATTTAAAAACAAAATACATAGTTTGTTAATCATAAAAAATGAAATAAATACTTTTATATTAAGATATCCAATGATCAAAAATAGAGTTGGGAACTTGTTAGTTAAGAGATGAAAATGAGCAATTCAGGTAGATCCACATGCGAAGCCACAACAGAAGATTAAGAGTTAGAAAATAGTTACAACAACAGTCATAATAATACTAATCTAAAATAATAATCAAATTTTCCTAAGTATTATGTCAGGGGTGGACAGTAGAAGGGTATGTAGATGGAACACAGGCTGGAAGATTGGAGCCTTGTGTTCTTAAGGTAATGAGTCCTCACAAGAAGACATATCACTATGGATGGCCTTTGGAATAATCACTCTTAGAAATATGGATGAGGAACTAGAATTGGAAGGATGTCAAACAGTCCTTCAGAAAACCAATTACTACAGAAGACTATTACAACAATCCAGGCAAAAAGCAATGGATGTTGGAATGAGGGCAGAATTCAATTTTTTCTATTAACTAGTTTTGTTCCTGTGAACAAGTCATATCTGCCCTCATTTCTATATCTGCAAAATAGGAAGTTGGTCATAATGACTCAACTAAATATTTCTCAAGATGTCTCCATAAGATCTTCTCATGAAGGAACTTTCTGTGACAGTAAAAGGAAGGGAGGCTACTGAACTTTTCCTGTCCTATGGTAGTATCAAAATACAAATGATCACGGTGCTATGTATACCTGGAATTGTGGCTGAATGCCTATTTATATAACAATTTATTCATAAAACTCCTACTCAAATAACAACTTACTTTCCATGCCATCTCATTTTATGCATGTCTTTGCTACAACGTCAATGAGGGGAACAAAAACGATTATTTTTAAAAACCAAATTTTAAAAATACTATCAAGAAACTTTCTTGAGGAGAAAGAGAATGTAATAAAAAGAGTTTTATGATTTTGTTTGTTGTATCAGCTTTAATGTTGACATAGACTATGAATTGTGATTGAAGTCTTAGGACTACAGTGGCAACTAAGGGCTTTTGTGGTTATTAAACACCTCAGTTTTATTCAGTCATTTAGCAAACCACAAAAGCCATTAATAGGCTGTCTTCTGCCCTGTCATGGATATTGCTTCCAAAGCATCAGTAAGTACAGAGCACATCTGTGATCTCTTCCCTTTCTCACCATACAGATAATCTGTAGATTAAATAGACATACCCAGGTTCTTATTTTTTAATGGTCAAAAACATTTTCCAAGAGATTTGACTTTCATAGGTTTCCAAAACACTTAATTCTACACCTAATTCTCCTGATGTCTGCAAATCAGCCATCAGAGGCTTAGAATTCAGTTTAAGAGATTTTCATATGGCCTTGCTATGAAAAACTAAAAGATATTTGTAAAATGTTGTTGGCCTACAGACCTGTATTGTTTTAAGTTACTGATTTTTATACAGGCAAATTGTACATGGAAAGACACAGAATTATTTTCTCAAAAAATTACTCTTGCTATTTCCTTAAATTATTTGCAACACAACTGGAATTTTGGGACTCTACCCAAACTTTCCAGATATCACAACCTTTGTTTTATTCGTGTTTAGAATATAACTGTGGTATATTTCAATATATCATATTAGAAAAATTTTTAAGCTCTGCCTCAGTATTATAAAAGAACTGTTATGTTAATCATTGCTATCAATGCAAACACTGACTTAGTTAAAAAAAAAAGTGAAAAATGATGCAGGATGAATTTTAAAATGTATCTGGATGTCAAGAGAATGAGAAGATAAGCCACAGACTTGGGAAAAATATAATTGCAAAAGACATATCTGATTAAGAACTGTCATCCTAAATATACAAAAAACTCATTACAAATCAACAAGAAAAAAAACAAAAAACTTAAAAATGAGCAGATCTAAACATATGCTTCATCAAAGATGTACAGATGTACAGAATTTAGTAAGCAATGTTGAAAGTGGTATTAGGTCAGACAAGTCTTAAGCGTAAGAAAAGATGCTCAACATCATATGTCATTAGAGAACTGCAGATTAAAACAACAGTGAGATACCACTATGTTTCTATTAGAATTTGGAAAATTCAGAATGCTGACAATACCGAATGCTCATGAGGATGTGGAGCAACAGGAACTCTTTTTTATTTTTGCTGGTGGGAATTCAAAACGGTATTGTAACTTTGAACGACAGTTTGACAGTTTCTTAAAGAACTAAACATAGTCACCATATGATCCAGCAATCGTGCTCTTTGTTACCTATCCAAATGAGTTGAAAACTTACATGCACACAATAACCTGCACGGAAATGTTTATAGGCAGATTGACTCATAGTTGTCAAAACTTGGAAGCAACTAAGATGTTCTTCATTAGGTGAATGGATAAGTAAACTGTGTTGCATCTAGAAAATGACATGTAATTCAGCAATAAAAAGAAGAGTTTGTATGAAGCCATGGAAAGACATGGAAAATGCTTAAATGCATATTATCAAGTAAAAGAATCCCATCTGAAAAGGGTATACACTATATGATTCAAAATATATGACATTCTAGAAAAGGCCAAATGATGGAGACAGTAATGCATCAGTGATTGACGGGGGTTAAGGGAAGGATGGAATGAACAGGTGAAGCACAGAAAAATTTTAGGTAGTGAAACTATTCCATATGATATTATAATTGCAGATACATGCCATGCCTTTGCCCAAACCTAAAGAATGTACAACATTAACAGTAAGGCTTAATGTAAACTGTAAACTTTGAGTGACAATGAGGTATCAATGTACGTCATTGTTTGTAACAACTGTACCAATGTGGTGCAGAGTGTTGATGGTATGGAAGGCTGAGGGAAAAGGGGTATATAAGAAATCTCTTTACTTTCTTTTCAACTTTGCTGTGAATGTGAAACTACTCTTAAAATAAAAGATCAATTAATTGTATTTGATTGATAAGAATATTATTTCAATAGCATGATATTATGAAATATATACCATTGCAACAAGTTGAAACATTCTATTCAAGCTTAAAAAATTAAATTGCCAAATAAGTACTTTTTACCTATTCATCAGGGATGGGAGGACTCTGAAGCCTCCTCCATATTCATTTCTGATCTCCAAGGAGCCCTAAGTGCATTGAAACA